CCCCCCCCCCCCCCCCCCGACCGCACCTCGTCGCTTGCGCCGTAGATGCACGACACGTCGATCGCCACGTCGATCATGTCGCAGCAAAGCTCATACGTGGCCATGTGGACGGGGTTGAAGTCGGTTGCGATGTACACCCTCGAGTACACGTCGAACAGGAACGACTTTTCCATCATGCAGTTCTGCGTTTTGTTCGTCACCAGACAGAAGTTAAGGGTAAACACAAGCGTTCGCCACAATACGTTCACTGCTTCATTCGTCTACCAGTGCAAAAAACCTGCCGGGCGTAGACGTACACCAGCACCAACACTGGTTCTAAGCAAGCGCAGGGGGGGCCAAACCACAAAACTCGGTGATTAGAAGCATTTCCCCTAGTCTCGTGAAAACAAAACGAAGCATCGATGTCATGTGTAGAGACGGACAACGAACGGGACAAAAAGAATGGACGGCCGGCGTACGAGCACCACATCTCAATGGTAGTGCCGCCTGCTTGCAGCATAACTCCCGGGGCAGGAGAGAGGGTAGACGTCACGCTCTAGATGCACGGCAGCTGACTGATGCTGAAAGTCTACATCAAGCGCGGGCAACAGACAGCTGAGGGCTGCGACGGGTTCCAAAGGATACAGGCTGAGTTTCAATTACATGCGCAAACGAACGTGTGAAATCTAATGTTGGGAAAAAACAAAAAAGAGAGAGCGAACGAAATGTTCAAGACGATCACACAGCAGTGCGGGTGACATTTACAAGGTAGAGGTAGGCTATCGCAAACCGTAACCCTGTACGACGGTGCACACGCTGTTGGTTGTTGACTTTTGAGTTTGGTGGCCACGCAATGCAACGGCGGCCATGCTGCGCACACCAACTTCGCTCCTCTTCCGCTATACCTACGACACACATCCAACTCTCTACTTTACAAATCTAAAAAAATATGCAGCACGAACTAGAAAAACCGTGTCGGCATGATTCACCAATCATTGCCAAAAGAACCGCACGAATCGGGAGCGTGGTCCCACACCTTCCCTAGACTCCACCCAAGCACAGCGGCTGTCGTGTCCAATTCCATTCACAACGTTCGAGAGCAAACGCACCCCCTTCACACACGACTCCAAGGCAGTCAGCCTGCCGGTACATTTGGTCGCGAGATTCTTACTGAGATGAGGGCGTTGAGCATGTTCTCCAGCGTGGGCAGCTGCGGGATGAGGAGTTGCACGACCTTGCTGAGACCGTCGAAAATGCTGTGATCTGCCAAAAACACAGGCAAGGTTGTCAGTGGCTCACGTACGTACAAGACTGGGGCCGGGGTAACAGTGCGGGCAGGCACGGCTCTTTGTGGATTGTCAACGTGAGAAGACGTTTCCGATGCGCATCTCTTCAAGCAAAAGCGGGCCACAGCAACCTCCAACAAGGCACAACCACATTTTGCCACGAGCCCAGCGCGTCCGAACGCGAAATGAGAGAATAAAACCCATCGAACATCGAAAAGCACAGGCCGTGGACAGGGCCAGCACAGCACCAGCAAAACCCACACAACCAACCGTTGCAAAAACAACCGCAACATCAGGAGCGACACCATCATCATCATCATCATCATCAACGTCAACAACGACAACGATAACGACAACGACTAAACAACCACCAGCAATGCCCGTCAGAACCAACACCTTGCTTACCGTAGATGCTGGTGAGGTGGTATCGCAGCCTAATGTCGGTGTTGCTCCACGACAAGGCCGCGTTGATGTAGCTCTGGACGTTTCGCAGACACTCCTCCTTGGGCTCGTCCGTCAAGTAAAGGTCTCCGTCAATCTGTCGCATTCGACCCACGACACGGCACCAACACACAAAAATACTTGACAGCAAACTTCGGTACTTAGGGGCAACCTTCGTTTCACAAGCTCGCAAAAACAAAAACTATTCAGGAGAAAGGCCTGCGCGCCCCCTTTTGCCCTGAAAGTCTGTATGTATATTGGTCGCGGTGTTTCGCTGGTGAACTACTGTAGGGATTCAACACAAAAAGGAGGTGGTCCATCGTAGTCAAATGTCTTGAGAAAAAATGCTCCACGTCCATGGAGGCAAGCTTGCTATCCCCATGTTCGAAAAAATGGCCACCCCTCCGGTACCTTGTGTATGAAGATTTCGACAGCCAGCTTGGAGTTGACAAGGCAGGCGTTCTTGACGACGCTCACCAGACCGCCTAATTGCTCGTCGATTGGGTCCTCCTGACAAAACAAGAAAATGGTACATGAAACCACATGGTCGGTTCGTGTTGCATGAAAAAAAACTTAAGGGGTGGTGACGCCGCATGAGGCATGGTAAAAAGAGCAGGGCCCTCTCTTGACTGGATAATACTGTCGCCAAAAAGGGTGAACAGAAGACACAATCACGGGGTGACCAAAAAAGGGTACGGACAACCCTGTGACCACAAAGGGGTAAACGAAATACACAAGCAGGGGGCGACGAAATTCATCGACTTGATGTACCTATTGGACGAATGGGGTATAGGATAGGCAAGCACCGAAAAGTGGCAACGGGAGCCTTGACAGAAAACAACACACGCACAAAAAAAAAACGGTGTTCTAGAAAAGATGTGCTTTCATGTGACTCAGAGAGAGAGAGAGAGCCAGGACACAGATGCCACTTGCAAGAAGCAAGAAACGCAGACACGACGCTTCAACAACAACTGCTGTCTTCCCTACGGACCAGGAAGGGGCTGGCACTATTGCAAGAGGAATACATGCGACATTCACCCCAAAACAAAACCGAAGGCTTACTTTTCCAAGCTCAACACGAAACTGATGTGTCTGCATGGTTTGTAGCCATGGCATCCTCCCGTCGGGCATACATCGCCTGAGCACGAGACATGACGACAACATGCCCTAAGTGGCGTTGTTGGTAGATGTCAAGGACGCTGTTCACGCGAGCGGCTGTTGCCTTCTTGTCACTCACAGTCGGGGTCCCTACTAAATGGACGTTTATACCTGTATACACCAGGCCGATTCCGCCCGCCCACCCTACCGATTCCATAAAAAAACAATTTAAAAAAAAGAGTTGTCACGGTTCAACCTGCGCCAAGAGAGTTCGCCCGCCCTTCTCACCCAACCCCCTGCACTGTCCCACGACAACCAGGCCCTTTAGAGGACAGGACCCACGGCAGACATGCTGTATCTCATCTCGTCTATTTCACCTGTGCGTCGACAATCAGGACCAGGACCGCCACCCCCGTGAAGATGGACGTTGCCTCCACCATCTCACCGTTGTACATCAACTTGTCTGGCTTGTTCCCATCGCGATAATTTCAGACCACCAAAACAACCACAACATCAACAACGACGACGACACACACGCGCGCGCATNGGGGGGGGGGGGGGGGGGGCGAGACTAGGTTCATTAATGTGCCAACGCCGAGTGCGAGTCTGATAAACGGAGGGAAAATGAAGGGTTACAGTCCATCGCCTGGGAGCTGTGAGACAAAAAAAAAGCAAGAAAAAATCAGGCGGATGAGTGGGTTTTGTCACGAAGAAAGCAGGCGGGGTTTCGACACCCAAAAAGCCTTGCCGCAGAAAAGCCGCAGAGAACGTTCTTGAGACGGGGAATGCGAAGTGACACAACGCCCTTCGCTTTCTTCTGTTCAGTGGAAATGAATCTCAGCTTAGCGAATATGTACCACGTACAAACACGCACACCGAGCTACGAAATGTCTTACCAGCGGGCCGCCAGCGCAAACACTACAAGAAACAAGGTTGACATGAAACGCCGGTTTACCTGCATGACGATTCTGTTCGGTTTTCAGCCCCCCCCTCCCCCCCCCGGTGTTTGCCATCGGGGTTGGGTTTTCGTCGCTTGGCAACGACGTTGTAAAACAAGCCGTCCCCCTCGGTGTTTGCCATCGGGGTTGGGTTATCGTCGCTTGGCAACGATGTTGTAAAACAAGCCAATTCACTTCGTGAACTCGGCAACCAGGTTACCGT